TAGAAGCACAACTCTTTTGTGTGCTGGGGATTGAACCTGGGGCCTCACACTCAGCTACATCCCCAGCCCCAGCCCCCGGGCAGCTTTTCAAATTTTTCTCTTCCTCTGTTCCCACTGCAAGTTTACTCACGTCTTTAGCAGTCAACTTTTTTTTTTTTTTTGGCTTGGGCACTGGGGACTGAACCCAGAGACATTTAACCACTGAGTCACACCCCCATCCCTTTTTATTTTTTATTTCGAGACAGGGTCTGGCTAAGTTGCTGAGGCTGGCTTTGAACTGGCGATCCTCCTGCCTCAGAGTCACTGGGATCACAGGCCTGCACAACCGCACACCCACCTTGCCGTAACCACTTGGCAGAGTTCATAATGGCCCAGAGATTTCAGCTGGGAGGAGGGTGGGCTCAGCAGCCTCTAAGGCTGAGGAAATCCCTGCAATCGTGTGTATTTTATTTTGTTTTTTCTTTCCATCTGGGTTACCTAAAGTATGGACCCAGCCTTGCAATTTTTTTTAAAGATTGTGTGTGTGTTTTTTTAAATTATTTTTAGTTGTAGATGGACACAATATCTTTAAAAAACATATTTTTTTCTTTAGTGGTCAATGGACCTTTGTTTTTTTTTTTTTTCATTTATATGTGGTGCTGAGAATCCAACCCAGCGCCTCACACATGCCAGGCAAGTGCTCTGCCCCTGAGCTGCAGCCCCAGCCCCCTGCAAACGGTTTTAACCATTTTTCTTCTCATTTGGAGGAGAACAATGCAACCTTTTAACATTCAGTTCATCTGAAACTCAGTGGGGGGCATTTGACCTCTTTTGCTTCCCTCCTGGGACAGAGAGGGACAGGGCCAAAGGCCTCCCCTGCTGTGTTTTTTTCTGAGTGAGCTCCCACCCAGATGGGCCACGGTGGCTTGTGTCATGGCTCCAGACGTTGAATCTATGGTCTTAAGTTCCCTAGGTCACATCTGCCTCCTGCCACACGGCAGCTCATCCGCTGTTTCATACCATTGTAAAAGTCACTGATGCCAAAGTGGAGTCACTTCGGTACACATCCAACAAGAGGCACGAGAAGGAAGTCCCCAGACATGTACTCCCATGACAGGACTTACCACAGGATTCCCATCGTCACACAACTTCCCCAAGACACTGTTCTGACAGGCTGTGTGCACGCGAACACTCACCCGCCAAGGGCTGCGGTCAGCCTCCCGCGATCGCCAACTTCCCTGCAGCCCTCAGTCTTTGTAACTTTGGTTTTGAAATGACTTGTGTGGACTTCTTCTCTGTCTTTAAAATATTCTCCATCTGCTGGGCCTGGTGGCACATGCCTGTCATCCCAGTGACTCAGGAGGCTGAGGCGGGAGGATTGTGAGTTTAAAGCAACTTAGCGAGGCCCTAAGCAACTCAGTGAGACCCTGTCTCTCTAATAACACTAAAACAGGGCTGGGGATGTGGCGCAGTGGTTAAGTGTCCCTGGGTTCAATCCCTGGTACCAAAACAAAAAACAAATAAAAACTTCTCCTCTCCCCGGCTGCCTGGCTACACCTATGGCCAGCCAGAACGTGTGTATCCTGAATCGCAGATCACTTACTCCCCAAAGAACTCACTTATTCTGGAGAACTTGTTTGTTTCTTTCTTTTTTTAATATCTTTGTTTATTTTCATGTGGTGCTGAGGATCCAACCCAGGGCCTCACATGTGCGAGGCAAGCACTCTGCCACTGAGCCCCAGCCCCAGCCCCAGAACTTGTTTTTTGAAGTTTCTTTCTAGGTTGGAGCATGGGGTTGTGTCCTCTGTCTCCCTGTTTTCCTCTCCCTTAACTAGTGTGATAGGGATATTTTAGCTACTCAGGGTCATAAGACAAGGCAGAACCTGGAGGAATCCACACTCAGATGCTTCCGACCTCTGTCTCCCAGGAAGGTCACGAGTGTGTGACTTTCAGGGAAGATCATTGGAGGCATAACAACCAAAGCTCTTCCTGGGGACTGGTCACAAAGGCCCCTCTCCTTAGCAGGGAAGAACAGTGGGAAACTTCCAAGTTGAATCTTCCAGATGCCAGCCACGGGCCAACCCTGCCCGCAGGCCTCTCTAAGGATGGACCCTGGGACCTGCTCTGTGGATCCTTTTCTGAACAGATGGTTAGTGGATTGATGTGAGGTTCCTGATTTCGATAGTTGTAATTCTGCAGGAGGAAGCCTTTATTTATAGAAAATACACATAGAGGGGCTGGGGTGGTGGCTCAGTGGCCGAGTGCTTACTTAGCACATCCTGAGGCACTGGGTTCGATCCTCAGCACCACATAAAAATAAATAAATAAAAATAAAGGTATTGTGTTCATCTACTACTAAAAAATATATAGAAAAAGGAAATACAGTGAAGAATTTTATAGAGAGATTGATAAGGCATCAAGTGGGATATGCACTCCTAAATACTTGAGCATGCATGAGGCTCTGGGTTCCATGCCTAGGACTGAAGAAGAAAAGGAAAAAGCTCTTTGTGCCATGCACTTCTTTAATATATACCATATATGTAAAAAAATAATATAACAGGAGGGAATCCATAGGGGACGGGTGGAGAAAGAGAGGGATAGGTTATAAATTGACAACTACTAGGGCTGGGTAAAAGACCCGTGGAGGTTATCATACTTTGTTTTGTATTTGGAATTCTCCATAATCACAAAATAAAATAACAGAAAGCTCGGTCAGCAAAGATGTCTTCTAGATGGGGTTACTTATGGAAGAGGAGGGAAATGGCACTGTGGGTGTTTTAGCTCTATCTGTAGCCTTGTATTTACACACACACACACACACACACACGCGCAGAACTTTAGAAACATAGATAAGCAAAATCAGTAATAAATACAAAAATGTCACCACCATATATATTCATGCAGCGTAACATGCATGTGTGTGCGTACATTCCTGCTGTGGTCAAGATGTTTATGTACCCACAAAATTTGCAGCCTGGAAGTTAATACCCAATGTGATTGTATTCAGAGGTGGGACTTTGGGATTGTCATGAGAGTGCCACCTTCATGAATGGGATTAGTGCCTTTATAAAGGAGTCGAGCAAGCCCCAGGCTCCTTCCAACAAGTGAGGAGACAAGTCTCGCCCATGACCCGCACAGACGGAGATGATCTGGGTTTCAAAGGGCTGGCTGCAACTTTGAACTAAGAAAGCGGCAAAAAAATCACCCAACACAGACAGAAGTTTTTCAAATCGAGGGCAGGACGGCTCTGCGACATTAAGGGTCAGCTTCCACGCTGGAAAAAGAGCGCTGCCCAAGGTTCCTTTATCTTATAGCAGTGGGCATCAGAGGCAGGGATAAGGTTTCAGGGGTGGAGTCTTGCTTCCTGATGTCTTGTGGTCAGCAGATTGACTGACATCTGGGCAGTCACACCCATCTCAGGTGCCGCGTGGGATCTTAGGCAGAGCTGGAGGGGCAGGCGCACCTGCATCATGCGATCAGACAGGGAGCCCACGGTGCAGGCCTAGCCCCTCAAGAGGCCACGATGCACAATAGTTCACACACACAGCCCACGACAGCTCGTGACAGACAAGGACAGGCGCCATCTTGAAAACAGTCAGCCCTCAGCAGACACAGACCCAAGGGCAGCTTGATCTTGTGCTTCTCGTCTGCAGAACCTTGAGCACGTTTCCATTGTCCATAAGTCATCCAGTCTCATGTCGTTGGTGACAGCAGCCCAAATGCATGCAGACAATGCAAAATGAATGCATGTGACAGACACGTCTTCCAGGCAGTGGGTTCCCTCTTTCCGTTCCTGTAAAGGTTCACCTCATTCTTCATTTTCAAATTCCTCCACTCACCCACAAATGTCCTCTAGAGCGGAACTGGGTACTCTGGGACCACCCCCACATGTGGTTAGGACCTTCAGGTCTGCTGTAGACTGTCACAATCCCCTGTTCATGATCCTGGCGAAACTCCCCACATCTGGGTTGGCTCTTCAGTGGAGCACGCCCTGCTCCTTCCCCCACTCTGGCCCCCGACTTGCAATGGATTGGCTTATTTTTATTTATTTATTATTTTTACTTTATAATGGCATAAGATACTATGCATTAGAAGGCGCACTGTGAATTTGGAATTCTCTTTCCCCAGACTAGACACGGGCGATCCAACACTCTCTCCTCATGCTGGGCATTGCTGGTGGACCACAGCTCCCGGTCACAATCAGGAGACAAAACAATGGAGAGCGCCTACACTGTGCTGTTGCTAAGCCATGATGCTCCGTAGACTAGGTACAGTCAATGCATATTTGACTGATGGTATCAATTTACAATGGATAGCCCCATTGTGATTTTTTTCGGTACTGGGGATGAAACCCAGGACTCCCACTTGCTAGGCAAGCACTCTTACCACTGAGCCATCATACGTTTTAAAGAGCATCTGTATTGCAAGGCGAGACTGGACGTCTGAGCCATTCAAGATCAGGTGGACGTTGTGCAATACATCAAAAGCCACCGCACAGTGCCTTTGCTCAGGTGACCAGGCCTCAAACACCTCATTTATCCACCCAGCACCAAGTCAGCAGTGACCCTGGAATGGCCCAATCCTGCCACTATGTGGTTCCATGTCACCTTCATGACTAAGGCCATGAATACGGTGTCACTTTGACCCTACACCCATCTGCTTCCCACCCACCATCTGCCTAATGCAAGGACACTGACTGGAAATTTTTGTCTGCATCAAACATTTTCTTGGTTCCTCTGAACCAAGTCATTAACTTAGGCAGTGACATGATATTTCTATTAAAAAGATCTGAGCCGGGTGTGGTGGCCCATGCCTGTAATCCCAGCGACTAGGGTGGCTGAGGCAGGAGGATCACAAGTTCAAAGCCAGCCTCAGCATAAGCAAGGTGCTAAGCAACTCAGTGAGACCTGTCTCTACAGAAAACACAAAATAGGGCTGGGGATGTGGCTCAGTGATCAAGTGCCTCTGAGTTCAATCCCTGGTACCAAAACCAAAAACCAAAAAACAAAGATCTGAGGCACTTTTGGCAAAATAATAAATTTATTATATATGATCACCAGATACATTCTAGATACATTATATATTATAGCTGATAGATTACTCTCTTGCTGTTCGGAAAACAAAATGTCAAAATGAAAAATAAAATCATTTTAAATATCACAATTACAGAGGTCCTTGAGGATCAGGGCTGGACTTGAGGTACCTCCTCATTTCCCAGGGAAGTCAGTGTGGGCAGATTTATCTCCAAATCCTGTTTGAACCTAGGTGACCTTTAGCTTCAAGGCCTGGGTCCAGCCCTGCAGCCCAGAAGGCCCCGGAGGTCAAGTTCACCACCCAAGGCAGCTGGAATCTGGCTAGAAAGAGTTCAGAGTCCAGTACAGGGCCTCCCTGAAAGGACAGCTAAGTCCCTGAAGCAGAAAGGAGAGGGGACAGAGACCAACAGAGGGGATGGGACAGAGGGGGCTGTGCTGAACTGCTGGTGGGGGGAAGAGGGGTGAGAAGGCCTCCTCAGGCGTCGCCTGTGGGTCTCCGTTACGCAGTGCTGTGCCCACCCAAAGCAGCAGCCGTAGGTAGACCTGATGGAAGACCAGGCTTCCAGTGGTTTCCAGAATCTGAATGCAGGGCCCAGAAGGACCCCTGGCTGGACCCTGAAGTTCTCAGTGTGCCAGGGAGGTAGAAGCACTTGGTTAACGAGGGGTCCCAGCCAAACGTCCCGGCGCCTAGACGGCATGGTCAGGCTCTCTCACAAGAAAGGCGTCCCTTGACTAGGACTGAGAGACTCGTATGATCACACTGGAGTTGGTCACACGGGCTCCATAGTGGCCAGCCCAGAACTGTGTGTCCTGCCCCCAGTGTTCGAAAGACACGAAACGGACGCCTGTCTTGATGTTGGAGAACACATGGGTGACCTGTAGATAGAGGAAGGGGTTGGTACTGTTATGTGATGGCTGAGATGGGGGGCAGAACCTTCTGGAAGAGGATGGCAGCAACATCATCTACCCTCCTACATGTTCTTCTAGAAGCTCGCTACTCCTTCATTAACTGGTGGAATCCAATCCCCTTCTCCTGGGATTTGGGTGGGTTTGCTTAGAACCAAGAATTTGGTAGAAGTGATGCTGAGTAGATTTGGCCAAGTGACTTCCCAGGCTAAGTCAGAAAAGGTGACAGACTCACTTTTCTTGCACCTCACCCCTGAGCCACCATGGAAGCAGCCTGACTGCCCTGAGGCCGCCATACTGTGAGGAAGCTCAAAGCAGTCCAAGCCCAGAGACCCCCGGGGAAGCTCTGGGACTCAATGAAAAAAGAGATTCTTGGCCAGTCACCAGTTGCCACCCACACACATCACCTGCCACCCTGCCCTTCAGCTCCAGGCCTTATCTGCAGGCCACTATCTGAGCATGAGGGTCTGAAGCCAGCACGGCCCACCTCAGCCTTTCTCCAACTACTGACTCAGGAGATGTGAAAGGCAACAAAAGGACTGCTGTTGATTTTAAGTCACTAAGTTTTGGGGTGATTTGTTACATAGCAATAAGTAACCAGTATGGACCCCACCATCCTTTCCCTACCCCGTCAGACTCACCTGAAAACAGATATTGTTGTTCCACTGCTCGATGGGGTCAGGCACAGCAGAGAATGTATCTAGGACAGTCTGGTCAGTGTCTAGAAGTTGGACAAGGAGTCGATACTTACAGCCACAGTCATGTCTGGCTCCCCACCTGTGGAAGGAGAGAGCCCTTGAAGGCTGGACTTGCCCCTCCATCTCTCTGGGTGTCTGCTACCTGAAGGCCTTCCCCAAATATACAAATCCAGCTTCTCAATGTTCTTCTGAGTGACCTCCGGACCCCTGGAACGCTGTGTCTGAGAGGTGTCTTTGTTTGATGGAGACTTGAGGATACTAGTGTCATAGGGCAGGGGCTGGTCATGCCTATATAGCTACAGGTCACTCCAGAGTGGGAGCTGGTCACTCCAGAAAGACCAACAATGAGGCTTTGGTAGCTTTGAGTCAATGTCAATTGATCTGAAGGCTGAGATTAACCACACAATCAGGCGGTGAATCAATAATGCCTATCAGATGAAGTCCCAATAAAAACTCTGTAAATGAAACTCGGTGAGCCTCCTGAGTTTCACCATGAAACTCATGGTGAGAGTCCATGAGTCTTGTCATACATCAGTGCTGGGAGGGTGACAAGTACTAACTGCAGGGGAAAAGACCAAGGGAATTTCTGTTTTATTTTTTGGTACCAGGGATTGAACCCAGAGGCTCCTAACCACTGAGCCACATCCCCAAGCCCATTTTATTTTTAATTTTTTCTTTCATCTTTTTTCTTTTTAATTTTTTAATTGTCAATGGACCTTTATTTATTTTTATGTGGTGCTAAGAATCGAACCCAATACTTGACACATGCTAGGAAGTGCTCTACAGCTGAGTCACAACCCCAGCCCTTATTTTTAATTTTTTTGACATAGAGTCTTGCCAAGTGGCTTAGGACCTCACTAAGTTGCTGAGGCTGGGTTTGAACACATGATCCTCCTGTCTCAGCCTCCCCAGTTGCTGGGATTACAAGTTTGTGCCACCTCGCCTGGCCCTATGTGCTTCTTTTGACTGATTTTACTCTGTATCTTCCTTGCAATAAACCATAATTGTATAATAGTTTTCTGTGGGTCCTTTAAGTGAATTAGTGAGAGTGGTTTTGGGAGTCCTCTAAACGTGAAGCTGGTATTAGAAGTGAGGGTGGTCTTGGGGACAGTGCCTTCTAACTCTTGGCTTTAAATTCTCACAGACATTGATGCCTGGCACTCACCCTCAGAAACATGATTTAATGGACATGCAGGAGTTTGAAAAGCCACCTGGGTGATGTGCAGAAAAATTTGGAACCCACTGATTCTTTTTTTTTTTTTTTTTTGTGGTACTGGGGGGGTGAGTGCTCTACCACTGAGTTACATCCTAACCCTATTTTGAGATAGGGTCTTGCCAAGTTGCTGAGGCTGGTGTTGAACTTGAGATCCTCCTGCCTCAGCCTCCTGATTTGCTGGGATTACAGGTGAGCACCCTGCTTCATTCTTTACAGTCAAATGATGTACCTGATCATAAGAGACAGGTATCACAATTTGACAAATAGTAATTAAATAAAAAATAAAATTTATTGGGAACGTATCTCTTAGATAAGTTTCAGGTAGGGGTTTTGTTGCCTTGACTATAAGTGAAATTGCTAAGACCCCAAATTCCAAAGTCAGTTGGCCTGGATCCCCGTTAGTCTTTACATCTGGGGACCACAAACGACAGTGAGGACTTTTTTTTCTCCCTTGTAAAGCTGAAGAAGGGGAAATGAGGAAGAGAGAGGGAAAAACAACCAGGATCTTTCCACCATAGACAGGATCTGCAGCAGATGAATTTCAGAATAGGCCATATACAGCCATAGAGACTATGGGGTTTGGCTTCCTTAGAGTCACCTGAGTCATGTACCCCCCCCCAATCTTCATGTACTTCTGTTTCAACAAGACTGAGCTGGATCCAATCGGATGTTTTCCAATCCAGACCCCTTTGGAGAGGAGGAAAGGGCTCCAGGGTAGGATTGCCTCTTCCTCCCTGACCTGCAGTTTCTTTATCTGTAAGGGGTTGTTAGGAGCCCACATTGAGCTGCCCATCAAAGGCCAAGCCACAGGCAGCCAGTCTTAGACAGGGGCTGCTTGTTATCACACTCACCAGTCAGAGACACAGATCTCAATCCTGCCACTGTCCAGCAGTTCTGGCCACAGACCCTCCTCCTCCAGGTCCAAGACCTGCTTCTTGCGGCACCAACTAGGAACGTGGGAGAAGGGTCCATGAGAACAAGCAGATCTTTCTCCTCCCCCACCTCCCAGTCCTTGGAGAGTAGGGGCTTTCACCGGAAGGAAGTTACGAAACAGGTTTGTGAAGGGGCCCCCGGCACAGTTCTCCTGTTTTCTTCCACCACCCAGCCATCTCCACCGTGCTGCACCATCCATTTCCGGAGGCCTTCTGTTAAATAAAAGGATGGTAATCCTAGCTACTGGAGGCTGACACAGGAGGACTGCAAGTTTGAGACCAGCCTGGGCAATTTAACGAGACGGTCCCAAATAAAAAAAATTAAAAGGGCTGGGGATGCAGTTTAGTGAAGATGGAATCCCCAGTACCGGAAAAACAAACAAACAAACAAAGCCTCCCAAACCCCTGAGGCCTGGGTCCAAGTTCCACTTTCCCACGGGAGACTGAGCACTGCCTCGCCCCAGCCCGGGCCATAGCTCCGCGGACCTCGCCCCTTCCCACCAGCTCCCTGCAGGCCCCGCCCCGCCCCGCCCCCAGGCCCAGGCGGACCTCGCCCCTTCCCACCCCCTCCCTGCAGGCCCCGCCCCGCCCCGCCCCGCCCCCAGAGGACCCCGCCCCTCCAGCTCCCGGCCGGCGCTCCCACCCTGGCCGCACGGGTTGCAGATGAGGTTGCGTCCCAACGGTCTGCGCACGCAGAAGCGGCCCAGAGGACAAGGCCTGGCGTCCCAAGCGGGGGGCAGGCAGTTGCGGACGAACGACATCAGGGCTCGGCCAGCGGCGCCGTGGTCCCGGGCCAGGATCAGGAGCCACAGGGCCTGGCCGTCCACCAGGGCGCGCCACTCCCGGCACACCCGGCGGCAGCGGGTGAGGAGCGTGCGTGGGGGCACGTGGCTCAGCACCACCAGGAGCAGCTCGGGTGGCAGTTGGCTCAGGTCCAGCGCCTCCTCGGGGTCCAGCTTCGGCCCGGGGACCCGGGTGGCCTGGCCCCTGGAGGCGGAGGCGCCCATGGTCCCCCAGCCGGAGCCAGCTGCGGCTGCGGGGAGAAAGGGTCAGGGCGTCAGGGACCGGCAGCCTCCGCGGCGCGCTACCTCCGCCGGCCCCGCCCTTGCCGGGCGCGCGTCCGGGAGTCTGAACAGCCCCCGAAGCACTCAGAGCCTCCCGCCCACCCTTCGCACCCCCACGTGTCCCCAGGTCCCCACCCTCAGCCCCTCCTCGCCAGCCCCCATCTCGCTCACAGCTCCCCGCCATCCAGCCCGCCCTAGTGGCCCAACTGTCCCCCGAGTCCTACTCCGGAGCCCGCCGATGTCCCTCGCGTGGGCCGCGCGGTGCGGCTCTCGGCCTCGCGCTCCCTTTTTACTCGCCGGCCCCTCCCCTCGGCTGGCACTCCTCTGCCGGCCGCGGTCCAATCCCCGGTGCCTTCCTCTCCAAACCCACCTCCTTCCCGCAGGCTGCGGGCGGCAGGGGAACGACTCAGCCCCTGGGACACCGCAGACGCGGCGGGGAACCGGCGGCGGGAATCCGGGCTCTGTCCCTCGCGATCCGCACCTTGTAATGTCCCTAATTCTGCAGAAGGCGCCTGGCACTGAACAACCGCAGTTATTTCGGTCCAGCATGAGGGCAGGAGACCTCCTTGGCGTTATCTCGTTTAAACTTTTCCATCACCTTTAAGGCGGGTCATGGTTATCCTCTTTCCCCAGGAAAAAAACAGACTCCAACCGCCAAAAATAAGCGTTCTAACCCAAAACACCAGACAGTCTTTAGGGACAGTCTCACTGCGGGCCCTCGTAGCAATCCCATGAAGTAGGCACTGCTCTGTTCCCATTTTACAGATGAGAAAACAGGCCCAACAGAAGCCAGGGGACTTGCCCATGGTCACCAGACTAGTAGTGACAGAACTGGGAATTGAACCCCGCTGTCTAGCTCCAGAATCCCCAATTTTAACCCATGTATCAGCTCTGTTCAATAAGTTTTTTAATTTTTCTTTTTAGTTATTCATGACATCAGGATTCAGTTTTAGATAATTAAAAAAGCAGACTATGATTTGTTCAAATTTGGTTCCCAGTATTTCCCTTTCCCTTTTCCCTTCTCTCTCCATCTTTCTGTTGTTTTTTTATTTTTTATTTTTTTTAATTAATGCCTTCTGGATATCCATGATGGTAAGACTCACTGTGGTACCTTTCATAAAAGGACATAGGAAAGTTAGGTCAGATTGATTCCTCGGTTCTTCCCTTATCCAGCGCCCCACCCATCCCCCTTCCTCTAGCCCAGGGGCTTTTTCTATTTTGATGGAGTCTCCCCTGCCCCTCCGCACTTTCTTGCTCTCCTTATTTTGGACTGGCTCCCACATATCAGAGAAGGCATTGGACCTTTGCCTCTCTGGGTCTGGCTAATTTCACTTACCATCACAGTCTCCTCAATAAAAGTTACGATGATGAGTCATTTATGTTATTTTAAACACCAACAAACAAAACTGGACATGGATTCTTGGCCACATGGAACTTTCCTTCTAGAGGGAGAGGTATTGTGAACAAACAGACATAATAAGCGAATTATATAGCACTGGGGAAATTAAAAATAAGACCCCCTGGCCAGTTCCCCCCCAAATACTCTCCACAAACGTGGAAAAGAATGAGAGCTTTAAAAATGAGTAGCATTGAGCCAGACCATAGAGGGCATCAGCCATGAAGAACCAACTGGCAATGAGTAAAGGACATCCTGTGCTAGGAAGTGATCAAAGCTAGGGAAACCTAGCAGGGAAGGGGGTGGGGCAAGGGCAGGCGGAGTGCGTGGGGGCAGACCTCCGGTCAGCGGGCTTCTCTTCACCAGTATTTAGCGGCAGAGTCCATTGGTGGAACCCTAGCACGGCTCATTTTCGGAGCAGAAAATAGCGATGGGCTGGAGCAATGGTCTGGGTTATTTAGGGTGGGGCAGGTGGGCGATTCCTGGGGTTCATTGTATTGGGGTCCTGCTGATCCCTTAGAGTGGAATAGGAATGTGAATGACATTGGGACTGAAGGTAGATGCACTCAATTCATGACCCGTGGAAAGGATGGCCTGAGTTCTTCTCTCTCCCAAGCTTTTTTTTTTTTTTGGTACCAGGGATTGAACCCAGGGGCACCTAACCACTGAGTCACATCCCCAGCTTTTTTATATATCTTATTAGAGACCGGGTGGCGCCGAGTTGCTTAGGGCCTTGTGCTAAGTTGCTGAGGCTAGGTTTGAGTTCGTCATCCTCCTGCCTCAGCCTCCCAAGTTGCTGGGATTACAGGCCTGCTCCTGGCCTCACTCCAGTCTTCGCACCAAGTGCAGAATAAAAGCTGTGATGCCTTTGACTTAACATCTCCAGGAAGGAACTGGAATGAGACAATTGTGTGGGTCCCAATGAGACTGTTGTGGGTCGCCACAAAAGGACGGTGTGTGCTTTCCTCCTCCCCCACCATGGGCCTGCAGAGCAGCTGAACGCTCAGTCTAGTCACAAGGCCAAGGTGTCTGCAGGATGATAGCATCCACAGCAATTCCTGGGGTAAACTAAGCCCCCATTCCCCAAGGCCAGGGTGTTTGCGCAAGAAATAAAAAATCTTTAAAAATTGTGCCTCCAGCTGATGAAATATTACAGGCAGAGTCTCAAAATAGTTGGGGATATGGCTCCCTGGTGGAGACCCCTGGCTTCACTCCCTGCAACAAACAAACCAATATTGTTCCCATGAGGGGGCTTGAGGAGGGAAGCGAGCGTGAGGAGGTCTCTCGAGGGCTGGAGGGCTCTGCTCAGATCTTCTGGGCTCGTGACACATCACAGAAGAGAGTTTAAGGATGGGTCGGGTTTTACCAGAGAGGACGAGCTTGACTAGGAAGTGAAAGGTGAGCGCACTGCTCTCCAGGCAGTGTCCCTGCTAAAGTGACAGTGAGACACTGGCCAGGCTTAGGGTCAGGGTTTCTATTAGAGCATGGAATTAGGTGGGATAGGTCTGGCCTGGAGTGTTGAAGCCAGAATGAGACAGGCAGGCAGTACAGACAGGTAAATCAGGAGGATCAAGGAGGCCAATTCTGAGTGAATCTGGCAAGTTGGAGGCTGTCCCCCAGGGATTGGAATTTAGTTCCTCCAGAGCCCTTCCTCCACCCTTATCCAGAACCTCCCCCGCTCCAGCCTGTGGCCAAGATAACCTGTCCCAGGAATTGCCCCTCCCTAAGGGAGCTAAAAGGTGGTTGATTAATGTGTCCTGGGCCGCTCCATCCTGCCCTTCCCCCCCCAGCCCACCTGGTTCCCATCTTCGGGCCACCGCACCGAGTCACAGTGCACCGGAAGGAGAGAGATGAGGGGAAGAGGGCAGGAGAACAAAGGAAGCCTAAGACATATAAAAAGGGCAGAGCACCTCGCTTCTGGGGATACCCGGATACCAGCTGTGGCCCCATAGAGAAGTCTCTGTGACCCCCTTTCTAAATAAACCCTGCCTATAGGCTGCCTGGGCGCTTCTCTAATGTTCAAACTTCAACCTGTGGGGAAGCGGGATCAGTGGTGGGACTTCCCTTGGGATGGCATATATTGAGCAAGAACGAGTTTCCCCACTGCGGTGCTGGCCAGGCAGGTGGCTTCAGCTCGCATCTGTGGCTGACGGGTCATATTCATGGTCTAAGTCAACGGTAGCCCCTAGCTTCACAAGGTCAAAGGTCTCTTTCCATCCCTGAGGCTCCTCTGTTGGACTCAGCTGCCCTCAGAGGCCAGTCCACATTCCAACATGGACATCTCTCTACACATTCCTAAAATTCTATCTCAGTGGGACAGAAGGGCAGAGGCTGAAAAGTCCTTCTCTCTCAGTCCCCAATTCTCCTCCCCAGAGGTGGCCTCTGTCAATTTCTGCAATGACATCCCAGGCTATACTCTGAAAAAGGAAAACAATGAATGAGCTCAAGAAGGTTCTAGTTCCTAGAATATAATGGTTAGAAAGTAATGTTTCCTGGGGTGGGGGAGGGGAGGGGAGGAGGCAAGGCACCCAGGGGCCATTTGAGAAAGTTATGGGTCAGGGTAATGGAGGGTGCTGTTTGGGTCCCATGGAAGGTCACACCCAGAGAGTTGTCCCAATTCCTACAGTCATGGCACCCTAGGCTGGAGTCCCCACAGACTGGATTCGCTCTCCCGCCCCTGGAAGAAACAAGCTAACCAGGGAAAAAGGAATCGAGTTGCAGTTTGGTCAATTAGTGAGCTAACTACCTCTGCAGGCCCTACAAAAGTATTGCAATTTATAGAAACAAAAGCCAGGAAATCTACATATGTAGATGAGGTCGGTGGTGCTAGCTAGATATGTTATAATTGTGGTTTCATTGGCACCCTCAGGGCCAAGTGGGGCAGATTTTCAGTTTCTATTCTCAGTGTGAGAAAGCTGGGATGGAGAAATACTGGTTTTCAGGAAACTGAGGGCTCGGAGCTTTCCATTCCAAAGGGGGCTCTGTCACACTCCTATTATTCCATGTCCTGTGCATTCTCATGGAGGAGGTGTCAAAAGACAAAATCATGACAAATTGTAGTGTCAAGATCTTTACTGGCTGTTTTTGCAAGTCTAGAATCTGGTAACGCCTTGTCCTATAAAATAGAATGAGTTTTCTAATCAGCTGAGTAGAGGAGTTTGGTTGATAGGGAGAGACAAAGTCCAGGAGTTCAGGAAGGGTGAAGCAGATTGGTTGTTTCAAAGTTCCTTTTCTTGTAAAGCAAAGGGGATTCCTGGATTTGGCTCTTCTCTATCACTTTCCTGATGACTGGGAAGGTAAGATCACAACTCAGTGTCAGCTTGGTGACTTGGGACTTGAGCATGAGTGGCTCTACTTTGGTTGGTCTCTTGAGCTCAATCCAGCCAGTGGTCTCCTATGCATTTTATTTCACAGAGGAAAGCTGTTAATCTGCACTTAGAACCCAACAATGTCAAAGGTGTTAACAGATGCTGAATTTTATAGAAATGTAAATACTAGGTTCACTGAATGAAGATCCTCCTTGGCTTTTCTTGGGACTTTTATCATGTTTTTTTTTTTTTTTTTTCTGCTATGGTTTGGTCATGGTTTAAGTATGTCCCCTGAAGGTTTATGTTGATAAAAGAAAAATTATGAAATGTCTTAAATTTAATTATAAAGGGCCAGAGGATGAAAGGGAGGAGGTATGGGGGAGGATGATCAGTTAAAAAGCTATGGGCTGAACAGAGCAACATACACATTCTAGAATTTGAATTAAAAACTGAACTCGTTGGCTAGGTGTGGGGGTGCACGTCTGCAATCCCAGCCACAGGGGAGGCTCAGGCAGGAGGATCTCAAGTTCCAGGCCAGCCTGGGCTCTTT